TACCTACCTACCTACCTACCTACCTACCTACCTACCTACCTACCTACCTACCTACGCATCTTGGTTAACGAAGAATTATCTTTGGACTTTGCATTCTTCTTTCCTCCTCACACAAAGAATTGTATCCTTCCCATCAAACCTCTAAAACCAGCTTGAAAACATCATCTGTCTTTCGCTGGTTTGTGCATGCCGTTTGTTTACTTAGAAGTCGTTCCTATCGTATTGAAATGGGTCTCATGTTCTGACCCAGGCTTCACAAAATCATGAAGCAGACTCCTTGTCCCGACAAAAACCCCTTTTTATTAAGCTAATGTGAATTCCTCTCATTCACATCCAGCAAAGCCCCGGCAAACAAGTCTTTGAAGGGTGAATTGACAACCACAGACCTTATCAGGCTTGGAGAGCTGCCAGGCCAATATCTTCCAAATGCAACACTGTACAAGAAAATACTTGGCAAGGAGTCTCTGAGAGTCACGAACAAATCTTCATACTAATGAAAAGACCTAACTGTCTCCTGCAAACTCTGCTCCTCTTTATTCTCTCTGGGAGGGGCCATTCACTGTCCACCTGTACTTTTATTCCCGAGTCGGCCCTTGTTTCTTAACTGTTCCCTTCTCCTGGCAGCTCTGCGCATGCGCACACTGGGAACAGGCTCCAGCTGTTCTTCTGCACCACTGATCTCCGACTCCAAAGGCAGCTGATAACTGCCAGCAGCCCTGGCCTCATCTCTGTCTCCAACACGGAGCCCTCATCCGAGCCTACCCCAGACTCCAGGACTGGCCCATCTTCCTCCCCAACCTCCTCACTGTCTGAGTCTGCCACCAGCACTGCTGGCGGGGCACAACACTACATTAGTCATAACTAAAGGACTCCCTATATCCCTGAAATACTGCCACCAGAACTTTTAAAGTCTCTTACCATTGCACGACGTATCTGCATTACTCTGGATTCCCCACTGTTTGGATATCCATTCTCTGTACGTCACAACTTCTTGCGTAACTCGAATTATTCTTCCTAATATACTGCAACGTTTTTTGAGATGGGGGGGTGGGGAGAGAGAAATAAAGATTACCGGATTTGAAAGCAGGGGTCAGAAAAAAAGAATGAGGTCAGAGAGGCCTCTGACTGACACACACACACACACACACACACACACACACACACAATCAATATTTACCTTTCGCTTTCGTTGTTGGGGTAACATTTAGCTATCGGAGAGACAGCATGGCTCAGAACCACGTATGCGTAATCAAAGGCCTGTTTAACTTGCATGGCGCCGTAAGAACTCCTACCAACGTCATTGCCTTTAAAAAACAAATAAAAGAGCAATATTAAGAAGGGGGGGGCTTCTTATTACAACCATCCTATGTATGGTTACTTCTTCTTATTGGTGTTAGTTGCGAAGCAGTGTCCGATCCATGGCGGCCCCATGGACCACGTTCCTCCAGGCCTTCCTGTCCTCTACCATCCTCTCAAGCTCAAGAGTCCATTCAAGCTCACGCCGACTGCTTCAATGACTCCATCCAGCCCCCTCATTCTCTGCAGCCCCCGTCTTCTTTTGCCCGCAATCTTTCCAAGCATTAAGGCTCTTCTCCAGTGAGTCTTATTATCGCGCAGTGGTGAGAGTGCGGTACTGCAGGCTACCTCTGCTGCCTGCCGGCTGCCTGCCATTTGGCAGTTCAAATCTCACCAGGCTCAAGGTGGACTCAGCCTTCCATCCTTCCGAGGTGGGTAAAATGAGGACCCGGATTGTTGTTGGGGGCAAGAGGCTGACTCCGTAAACCGCTTAGAGAGGGCTGTAAAAGCACTATGAAGCGGTATATAAGTCTAAGGGCTATTGCTAGTATGCTCCAAAATCAATGCCATTATATTACTCAATCATGAATGAATCAATTCACGAGGAAAATATCAGGGAAAGATGGAATCAAGAGCAAATTATTTCCATTAGCTTCTACTCTGTATATCAAAAATCTTCCCTTGCTCAACTCCAAAACCCCAATACCTGGTTGTAGCGGGTCTTCAATATACAACATTGACGGTCTGTAACCATCTAGCATATTCTTCTGAACTTCATCCTTGGCTACATAGGAACCACCATCCTTGATTCGGATTCCCGTTTTCAGGTAGTTGAAATGACGGCCGTATAATTCAAAAAATTCTATTAAAAGGACGCCATAATTGGCATTGGGGGTGCAGGCGTCCCCCCGGGGATGTAGCTGTGGAAAGAAGCAAAAATGGTTGAGAAAAAAAAACCACCTTCAAAATATATATGTATGTATGTATGTATGTATGTATGTATGTATGTATGTATGTATAAGATTTTTACAACCCCTGGTAAGCCCCAATTATGGGAGGAAGNCTCTCTAAATGGTTCCTGAGGTCTGCATTTTTTCTGGAAATCCAGACTACAGGAACCATTTGCACCACTCAGGTGACCCAGAGGACACCTGATAAGCCTCCGGGGGAGGCCTCAACGGAAAAGGATGCAAATGACCAGCTGTCTGTGAGGAGTGTAAATCCTTCCATTCCCCACCATCCAGTCGGAGCTGAAGAAGTTTCTTGGAAACGCCTTCAAAGAAAAAACAAGAAAATCCAGTTGCCTCTTGAAAAAGCACCTTTGGGACAACCGGATGACTGAGAATCTCCACAGACATCCTCATCCTCTGGCAACCTTTTTAAGACGTATGGACTTCAAGTCCCAGGATTCCTCAGGGCCGAGAGTCGAGGTCCGCAAGTCTTAAAAGTGGCGGCGTTTGGAGAAATCCTCTTCCAAGCTTTTAGGAGGTGGCTGTGTAATAATTCAATTTGAGACTTACCACATCACTGGAACTGGAGAGTGTGGATGACGACGACGACAAAGGGCCTGACGAAGAGTTGGATGAATGTTTGCTGGGGGTCTCCGAGGTTTTACTTCTCGCTTTTCCTAGCGACTGATTCTCTTCGGAAAGGTTGTTGTTGTATTTGTCCAGCTGTTGATTATCCACTATTAATGTCACTCCGTTACCTAGGGCCAAAGGAGGAAGGGAGAATAAGCACCACGTCACAATAAAGGAGGTTTTGTTATACAGTTATTAATAATGGGAAAGGAGAGTCTATGACAGGGGTGTTAAACTCAGGGCCCAGGGGCGGGATTCGGCCCACGGGGTACTTATATCTGGTCCACGGGGCCGACCTGGAACCAGCGAAGGAGCAGCTCGTGGTGCCTCTGCCAGAAAAAAGAGAGCTTGGGAGGGCCGCCGGCTCACTTAACAAGTGCTCTCGCTTAGCAACATAAATTTGGGAGCTCAATGGTGGTCGTAAGGCGAGGACTACCTGTACTTCCAACAGGAACGGACTTTTTTTTAGAAACGGCGTTAAGAATTTGCTCACTCGATGTATTATAGAATTAATATGGATGTAATGAACATCGTTGTAAATGCTACGATTATTTTTCAAGATTATTTGTACCCAGACAACACAGTCGAAGTAAAGAGGATGTTTCCCCATGTCAGTTTAACGAGGACGTTTTGTAACGGAGGCTAAGAATGGCCAGACTCTTACAAGCGCTGAGAGTCTATTTGTCCTGACATGTGCTGTTTAAATCAGCAACTCTTCTCCATGACTATCCAACTATGTGGAAAAGGTGTGTCTGTGTATCTATCTGTCTGTCTGTCTATCATCTATCTATCTATCTATCTATCTATCTATCTATCTATCTATCTAT